CCCAAAACCCCAAAACCCCAAAACCCCAAAACCCCAAAACCCCATGAATAGCAATCCTCATTTAAATATGAAAGATTCATTTTAATGCTACTAAATATGCTAAAATTTTAATATAATAAATTAATAGTGCTTTAAAATAGATTTAAGTTGGTGAATTTCATAAGGCTGCAACTCAACGCTTCCGGCAAAAATTTTATCGGCAAAATCCTGAGAAGCTATATGTTTTTTACAAGCAGTCATCTTCACATTTGACGTAGTCGCCCGGCTACCCTGTAATAACAACTAAGACTTTGCAATACCCCATACAATTTCCCTTGCAAGCAGTTTCATTTGAATAGCACGGGATAACTCTTTAACCTGCACCATATGAGTAAGGAGCAGTGCTTGGGCAACATTTCCCAGCCATACTACATACTGTGTCTGGAGGACAATAAGCTGTTCCGCATTAGTTTTAGGTTTCATTTGGTCTCACGCATTCGGTATAGCCATGCGTGTTATATGCCCACCAGAAAGGGAGGTTAGTAACAATAGGTACAGACTACAAAATGATAAATGGAGGTTCAATTAATTCTCTAGAGAGAAGTTTAGAAATTTCTTCAGCCTAGCAAAATGAAATCAAGAAAATGATATAGAATATTGCTTGATCGAGATACTTAGTTGCCATAGATTGCCTAAATTACTGATTGATTTCTTATTATTTATTATTATTTAGATATTATAATTTTAAGCATTAAGAACTTTGATGAAGTTTATTTACTTGATCGCTGATACAAGGCCACCAAAATATTACATTTAAAAAAACAATTCAATATCAATCATCTCAATAAATTATACATGAGGAATTGCATCGAGCGGTGGGTATGGTAGGTAGGTACATCTGATGACCTATCTTGGACTACCACCCTGTTCAAGATGGCTAACTAGCTTTACTATGATGTAATCGAGAATGGAGAAAAATAATATGTAAGAATTAAGTAGATTAGAAGAGACTAAGGTAAGAAAGTATCGAAAGTCAGGTAAAAAAGAGCTAAAAATCATAGTATAAACAACTATCAAGCATATCAATTTTAAAATTAAGATGATGGGAGAAATCAACAGCATTTATAACATCCCATCTTTCCAGCAGCTCGCTCGCTTCATCACTGGAGATGAGCCCTTTCCCAAACATCTCGCATATACAAATGCATACAAATATTTTGAAATGATGAGATATAGAGTGATCAGGCCACACAGCGACATAGGCAAGTCGACCAGGAAGAATATTTGCGGTTTTTTGAATGGTGATGCAACATTCAGTACTGCATCTTCTGAAATCGAGGATATAATCTTCGTATATAAGATAGCTCCCCGCACCTAGAAGATCCACATTGCAGCTTCATTCTAATCTTCCAGCGATTGACTGCACTTGTAGCGTTTGTCGCCATCATCAAGGTCAATTAGGACAAATCAAGAAAAAGGGATGGATTCTGCTTATTTCAGTGACCTTGTAGAATAAATAGAAAAGGAAAAGCATGTCAAACTATACATTGATTCTTACTTTGTTGTACTATTATATGGAAAAATGCAATCTTCCTAAATAAAAATAATTTTTGTTTCTCTTACAAGACATTTATAGTTAATAAAAATAGATTAAATTTATTAATATTATGAATCTTTAAAATTAAAATACGATCTAAAATAATTTCCAATATATATATTAAAGCGCGGGGTTTTGGGGTTTTGGGGTTTTGGGG